CTGTTTCTGACGATCCGCGTCATTCCGCCCGCGAAACATATCCGAATAAGGAATTTATCGAGATCCGCGCAAACATTACAATCTAACATGACTTCGCTTATCAACTCAACCTGCATATCTCGATTCGAATTAGAATGTGTCTTTTATTATGTAAATGAAGATTGAATTGGGATTTAAACTCATACTTTGTTGCGTAATCAAAGATTTACAGCAAAAGAAACAGTTAAAATTCAATCTAACATTCCGATAAAATTTTATGTAATGTATATATTCATACTATTTCGCTACTTTATTCGTGCAATCTCAGAATAAAATATTCAAATTTAAATTCCATATTTAGAATTCCTTTTCAGCGCTGTTATATTTATTATGCATTTGATATATAAATGTACTTACAGAATACGTTTTGTACATACAAATATACTACTCTTATTACATTGAATAATTCAATGACGTAATGTGGTATCTCGATGGTATCGTTCGCAAGCAAAATCACTTTTTGTATTAGAACACTGGAACATTAAATAATTGAAAGTAAATATGCAAATTATTCTTCGCAAGATATTAATAAGATAACTAAGAAAATTTTTTATTTTAAGATATTTGTTTCATCGTTACATAAGCACTTGTCAATTAATTTTGTTATTATACTATAATTATGTAAACTACCGTTTTGTTATTTGACAATAATGATTCAGAGATGTTTTGTTAGTCAAATTGTGAAGAACAATGGAGATGACGTTATTATGGTAAGCTGTCATCGTATTATTGTTATTCACACTTCGATAGCACTGTTAGTATTCCTCAACGCACAGTCACAAATGTCACTGCTTTTGAATGCAATTGATACCGCATGCATTTAGTGAATGTAAATTACTTCGATTTACGCAGTCAATTGACGAAGCTTTTCAAAGTAACAAAAAGCATCGATACCTGGTACTTCAATGTACATATTCAATATACAAATGTAAACCAACGATCTAAAGCATTACATGGTTGATGCTGCAGGAAAATGAAAATAACGACTATTCAATACAATACGATTTATTGCTTTAAATTGCTCGATTATCACAATTGCTTCTGTAACTTATCTAATTATATATTTTGCGGCTAAAATAAAATTATTTTGAATAAATTATAATTCCGTGTCAATTTTGCAGATTCATGATTCAATCACTATTAATATTATTAATATGATTTTAATCTAAAAATAAGATGTCGATTTACGTCAAAGAAAATTGTGATGTGTAAAAAGTTGTTTAATTTATTTTATGTTACATTTATATAATGAAAACCTAATATGTGTAACACACACATAATATCAATAGTAAAAATGCACATTTAAAAACAAGTGTAAATGCATCAATTGTAAATGTAAATTAGAACACAACTCATTTAACCTTTCAAGAGTTTTAATAATTATTTTTATTGTTCAATAATTATGAATAAATTTTCTTACTTCACTTTCATTTGCATTTAATTACACGAAACAAAATAGTCAATTTGCATATCCATTGACAAATTATTAATTTCAATGATAGCAAAATGTATATATAAATTGCTAAAAATTGCTTCAGTCAAATATAGAAAGACGTAATGCAATGCAAATATTATTAATTTAAACATATTATGGAAATAAGATGTTTCTCATTTAATCGCGCATACAATTTGGAAAATAAATGTGCGATTATTATATATACTTATTCTGTTAATTATTTAAATATTACTCAATTTTACTCTCGAGCGCAATAAACATAAGCAAAACTTGCTTGGTTATTAATAGCTCGTAGGTTTTATCATTTAATAAGCAAAACGTGAAAACGTCTTGTTGAAAAAGAAAAAACACTTCGAATTTATTCGATTTTCCTTGAAATTACATTTGCAAAACATCTCTCACATATGTCATTCATACCTTGATGACATTTGTCATCTTTATATAACGCAACAAATGCTATTCATTATTATAACATGCTCACATATCAATTTTTAATTTTATCCTTCAGCATACGCGATACGTATAGACAAATTGCGCAACAATTTTTAAAGTTAGTTTTCCAGACAAGTATTTCTAATACGTGTGTTTCTAATCTTCATTGTACATACATCGTGATTTCTCTGATTTCTCACGGCCATTCGCTAGTTTCTCTTCTCATAGAATCTCTTTTCACAAGGTCAAAGGACAGTAGTACCTTATTTATTGACCCTGTTCGATTCATAGAAACATGTATCTATCCTAGATTCGAAATATCTTTAGGCAGCGAAAATTCACTTTCGATCATAATTAATATCTCGATAAATTAATGAGTTTATAAAAAAAATAAATAAATATAATAATTATTATACTAACAAGGAATAATTGGGAAATTAAATTTATATAAATACGTATACTTTATGTACGACTTAGAAACATAAAACATTAATACAAAAGAATGTTAGTTACATCTAATCAAGACTGAAATCTTGTCTAAAAAGATAGTAATATATTGTTTTATATTAAAATTATATATTACATATATAGCCTTATTTGATCCTACTCAAATTGCGAATTGAATAAATTGCTATATGAATAAATTGCTATAGACCAACAAAAACGTGAAAGGATCTTCACACTACATCTATCATCATCGTCCTTAATAAAGCCGCGAAACTAATTGAACAGATTTATTCTAATAATAGTCGCAAGTCCTTTGCCTCAGCTTTCTCAGCATGTTCCTAAGCCCTTCGATGTCCCGCTGCTAATGCACAACTTTTTCTGTGCGATCTAGTACTTCCAATTTCACCACGACGCTCATCAAGCGTAGTCACGGCCACGTGGTAGTTTCTTCACAGGAATTCTCGTCCTCCAAGATCAGAGGACAAAACTCTTCCGCAGTAACCCTATCTAAGTTGCCGATATCTGCCTTGGGCTTAAATGGTAGCTCCGATACAAGAATCCCTTCCTTATAGATCCTGTGATCCTTCTCCTCTTCCTCGAACTCCGAGAAATCATCGTCTTCGTCATCATCGGTCTTCACGGTAGCGAAATCGATGTCTGTCAGGAGCGTGTTCACTTTTCGATTCTTTGGCTTTTCCCGCGATATCTCCCTCGAGACCTCTTTCGAGACACGCGATAATCCCCTCTTGTCGAGACGACGTCGTAGTTTCTTGACACTCAGGGACGTGGAGGGCAGAAGTATGCTCCCCTCAATCGCATCCTCTTCATGACCGTTGTCCTGATTGATAGCATCCGATCTCCTTTCTTTATCGCGCGTGTCGCTGCTGCTCGGTGGTTTCCTACTTTCCTGCGCCGATCGAGCCGTGTTCGCTGGGAATGCATTTTTATCGGTGGTACCGGCGCCTACGGCGGCCGCGATTTCGCTGGTGCCACCTGCCACCGCTTCCTCCGGCTTCCCGCTTGAAACGATTGCACGCGGACAGGCGTCTACGATGTCGGCCGGGCATACCGTGTTGGAATCGTAGGTCTCCGCGATGCCATAGCTCAGACTTGGCTCTGTTGGCAATGCGCTTGGAGCAGGCCTTTTATCGACAGCCCCGGTGCTCTCAAAGTCGGCCTTGATCCGCGGATGCTTGCGATACTCTTCCTGCAAGTAAGTACGAAACTGGTCCTGGAAGTAACCATCGATTACTTTCCAGATGATGACGCTATACCAGCTCAACACGCCGAGGAGAAACACTCCGCGAATAATAAAAGCCAACATTACAAAATCTTGTGGTTGCGGTTGATTATTCCGTTGCGATATTATAATATTCTATATATAGTGTTTTACAGATATATTCTAAATATATCATGTAACTATAATATACCGAGATCGCATGCTGATATGATTGATATATGATACATTGATAAGAGGCTGATGTTTTTTTTTTAAGAAGTAGCGTTTATAAATATTTTGATGAAATCTTCCGAGCACAAATCAAAGTTCAAGTTTGGCATGTAAATAAAACTGTCGGTCTTACGTTATTATTAATGTACGTAAGTATGAAAGATAGATTTCAAAATTTTACATTCTGATTTGCAATTTTTATAATTTACCTGGCTTATAAATATTTTGATATTTATTTGACATTTATTTAAACATTTAACGCGAATTAAAAAATTTATTCAATTATATCAAAATACTTTTAGAGTATTTATACTTCAGTAAATTACTATGTAATTATTTAATTATTATAATTATTATAATTATTTCTAAAAATTTACACTTTTATAAAAATTATACATTTTTGTTATTATACATTAATAACATCATAGACTTTTTTGTTTACTTTTTAAATAAATTTATAGATATATTGTAAATAAAAATATTCTAAAAAGTTATTTCTCAAGATAATTATAAGCGTTGTAAATTACATAAAAAAACTATGTTAACACTAACTGATTAATTAAAACAATACGATTTAATAACTAATTTAATTAGTTATTAATTCTGCCAAAAGTTATATGACTTATGGATCTTGGAGATTTACTCTCCCAAGACGAGAAAGAAAATCCTTCTAGAAGAAAAATACGAAAGAGTTTTATCTTATACAAATATCAATGATCAACACTCAAATACTGCATGAAAAAGAAGTTCTGTCACAGTTTTGTTTACTCATTTTGTGGATTTGAAAGAATATTAAATCTTTTAAAAGGTTATTCTCGAGTATTTTTCGTTTGTCTTTCTAAGCATCTATTTCTCTTGAACTAAAAATATGCTTACATACTCAACTGAATATTTTTCTATCGTTTATATAATGCGTAAGCGACAGTTATTATATTATCAATAATAATTTTATAAAATTAATATCTATCTGATATCTATTACTATTAATTTTTAATATCTGTTTATTCTATTATTAACGTTGAATTTAAGACAGTTGTTGCTTGAGATTAATTAATGGCATGAAAGATAAAATTGACGTTAACAGATAATAATTATAAAAAAAAAAAATAATATTGTCATACTTGATTAAACAATGATCACGTATTATTCCTAAACTATCTTTTCGATTGAGAGCACTTAATCCTCTTCTCCCATGAGATAATCTTTGATAATGTAAAAGGATTCTTTCATGTTCGGCCAAGCTATAGTCACAAAGACCAAAATCGAATTCGCGATCACGAAGAGCCGCATCATTTCGATACCAGTGCTGGATCGGATCCAATTTCCAAAACCTTGATTCTCGTCATCGCTTAGATCTCCCAAATCCGACTTCTCCACTATATTCCTTCCATTATGACAACTCTTACTACCTTTATTTTCGTTGTTTCCACGTTTCTTCATGCTGACTATATAGCGATCATCTGCAAGAATTGATTTCAATGCTGAACATCATAGAAATATGCACTTCACGTGCTCTATGCGTTTAATTGTGATGAAATTTGTGCTATATTTTAGCAGAGATAAACAAATAAAATAAAAAAAAGAAACCAGATTCTTAAAAATTTGCGAGCTCTGCGTGGAATACTTATTTTGAATATTAGAAACACTGAACAAGTTAATCAGTATTAAATTTCTATAAGAGAATATAACGAACAATATTTTGAGTACTTATACGGAAAAAACGATTTTGTTGAAGAATCTAAAAATTTAACTAAATTAAAAATTTAACTAAATAAATTTTCAAACAAATCTGAAAATAAATTTGTTGGCCTATTAAAATTATTATGTAGGACGTTAAAACTGATTGCTGGAATGTCAAAACTTTTTGCAGCATTGCTTACCATGTTTAAAATTCCTATAAAATAATTTTGATGGTTCAACAAAATTATTTTCAGATCTATATTTAGCTAAATTTTTAGATTCTTCAGCAAAATTACTCTGTTCATTTATAAAAAAATTAAAGGAACGTCAAGAATTATTATCAAATGTCGTTTGTTCAATACATTTACAATTTTAATCCTAATTATTCTAATTATTCTAATTATTCTAAATCAAGAGAATGATTATCGTGTTTCGCTATTTATTATCGCTCTTCTGCTATTTATTAAATAACATAGTATCAACTGATAATTCGCGTCGCGAATTTAAAGAAAATTGTCCCGCTACGTGACAATTTACGATAATCAGCGAACCTGAGAGAAGATGAAATTAAAAGCATCCGCATACATATATTCCTGTTCCGGGATACGCGTGTGCGTGAGCACGGTTATATGTTGCATTCCTGCGCGTACAAGAGACGCACATACTTGAGAGTGGGTGTGATGACCGCGATCAACGCATTGAATATACATACGCATTTCAACTGTCGCATACGAAATTGAAATTACAGAAAAATATTTCTGATTCTTAGCTTTCTCGAGATAAATTGTTATAGAAGAAAATTTACTAAAATTTTTTACTCTTAACTATAATAATTATGTTAAATATAGTAACTGTCATAACTCTATTAATGTTAATTAAAAAATAATTATTATAGAATAGAATTTATTCGCGTCACAGCATTTTTACAACCAAGAAGAGATATAATAATTATTGTATTATTTGAAAGTGCAAGTAACAAAATGAGAATTTTACATTGAAAATGGATTACAAATTCCATTTTTTCTTGCATATTTTTAAAATTAAAAAGTCTTATATGTAAAACTAACAAAAATTTATTTTTCTGTATATTAATTTTTTAATATTTACATAGAATAACAAATAATATTTAGTTAAACCTATGTTATATTAAAATTGTGATTTGAGAAGACTTATTACAAGATAGCTTGAGAGTTATAGAAATTTTTGCAACTCGCATAATATTTGCTCGTATCGATTTGATTGAAAAACGCAACTCAAAGCTGATTTGCTCTGTGATTCCATTAAATAATTTTAATAAATTCTCTTTTCCACCTCGCGATCTGCTATGGATCTTGGTAGATCAAAGTTCACGGTATTATACCAAGTAAATTGCAAGGAGGAATAGTGGAATCGTTATCGACAAAGAACAGCCTTCACCAGAGCAGATCGTTCTGTCTACAATGCTCCATTCTCTCTCTGTCCCCTCCCCCCCCCCCCCCCCCCCCCCCCCCCCCC